TCAATTGTCTTGGACTATGCAATGTGAAGGTGGTTGGAAGGCTGAGAAAGTGAGCCACGGCTGGTGAAATAGTTCCCAGGAAAAAGCTATTTTAAATCCTCTCCCCAGAAACCGAGTGGTAGAATGGTAGAGTATGCCCCAAGTTGGTGGTGGGGAAAGGTTTGTACCCCTGCTCTTGCTATATCTTTTCAGCAAGCTCTTTATTGAAGCTAATAGATGACAATTGGTTAAATAATACTGGGGCTCTGATCAATGGCTGTTAACGTTGGGGATGGCATGATGGAAAAGGGCCTCAAGCTGTAGAGGAAGAATCATGTGAATCCCTCAGGGGACCCCTAGATCTTGGAGGGTAGGATGTAGCCAGTTCTGGACCTTGCTCTTGGGATACCTGACCCATTAGTATGTGAGCTGGAATAAAGAATCTCAGGGCTATTTAAGGTATGCGTATACATACATATACATATGTAGATATAATGTTATAGTACAGATGGAACTTTTTAGCATTTATAATAAAGAATAAAAAAGAGTAAAAAGTAGATCAGTGAAACCAGTTGATACATCAGACACAGACTTCTCTGGCAATCATCCTGTACATCTGATCCATTGCCAACTACTGTCATCTCTACTTGTATATGTCCCCTTTTCTCCTCCAACACAGCTGCCACCCTGGGCAGGCACTCATCCCTTCAAGCCTGGACTATTGCAAGAGCCTCCTAGTGGGTCTCAATGCCTCAGTTCCAATCCATTCCAATCTATCCTCCACTCAGTTGCCAAAACAATCTTCCTAAAGCACAGGTCTAACCATGCTCAATAACTATTCAATAACTTCTAGTGGGTCCCTCTTATCCCCGGGATAAAATATCGTATCCTCTGTTGATCTGACTTTTGCAGTCTTCTTTCACTTCACTCTCTTCTGCAAAATCTATGTTCATGTGATACTGGACTTCTTCATGTCTCTTACACCCAGCACTCCATCTCACAACTTTGTGATTTTTCACTTACTGTCTTTAATGCCTATAAAGCTCCCCCACTGCTTTCCTGGTTTCTTTCAAGATTCAGCTCTAATTCTACCTTCTGCAAGTGATTTTTCCTGAATCCTCCCATTGTTAGTGCCCTCCCTTTCAAATTACCTCCATTTTACCCTTGTATGTATGTTTATATCTTGTATGAACACAGTTGTTTGCATGCTACCTCCCCCATTATAATGTGAACTCATCGAAGGCAGGGGCTGTTTTTTGTCTTTCTTCGTACCCCAAGAACTTAGATAGTGCTTGGTATGTGGTAGGTGCTTAAACTTGTTGGTTTGAATTGTTGACTTGACATTATATAGCTAGAACATTTACTTAATATTCACTACCACTTACTTAATATTTATCTGCTTTCTGAGGTGGGCTGTAAGATGGGGAGTTAGGGCAACAAGAAACACAGCCATCAGTCAAGGTCCCAGGATATGAATGCTGTTGTCCCTAGGGCAGTTTCTATATCTGACCCTTCTGCTACTGATGTTAGCTCTTCTAATTTGGGACAGCCGGGGTTTTTACAGCAGAGATTGATTCTGGCATGAAGTCTCACAGCATGCTTATAGTCAGAGCACCTTCAGAAGTGATCAATGAAGCTTGTGACTAAAGGAGTTGTAACATTCAGTGGATTTGGATACTGGCATGCTAAGGTTGGAAACCTAGGATTGGTTGAAGGTTCCACATGCATGTGAGCAGAAGTTTCTCTTATCCAGAGACTTGGGGGTCTCTTTTCTCTCCCCTCTTTGAGGGTGGAGTCACTCAGCACTGGTGAGCCCAATTAGGCCTTACCACAGGAGGATTCTGTGCTGGTAAATGTTTAACAACCAGCTCTAAAAAAAAAGTACCCATGATACACTTTAATTTAGTCTACATTATTAGTACTTTCTCCCTCAACTCTAGAAAATTGACAAAGCAACAAATCAAGCCCTGCTCTGTAGTGCTGATTTCTGAGGTGTAAAGACTTCCATTAGAAAATTTAACAATTGGCTCTTGAGAGCTAGTTTGAGCTGGTACCAGCACACCTCTGGTTCTGTACAAGTAATAGGTTAGGTGGGGGCCAAACTAGGTATCTATGCTTATGGGAAGAAAATATATTTATATAAATAGAAAGGATCCAGCCAGTTCTGAAAGCTACCAACAAAGTATCACATTCCCTCACATCTTGAGGGCACCACCCTCTCTCTTCATCCCTTTCTATGACCTTCCCTCCACTGCTGAAGCCAGGAAGCTGGAGGAAGGGCAAGTGTCCTATTACTGTCTTATCAAATGAGATAGTATCTGTGAGGTACTTAGCACAGTGCCTGGCATGGAGTAGGCACTTAATAAATGCTTATTTCCTCCCTCTCTCCAAGCACTATTAGCACCTAAGGTGGGCGATAAACTTTAAATTCAAACCATGTTTTCTTCTTTTTGCAAAACAAAGTTTCCACGGAAGGATGATTCTGGGCCACATAGTGGAAACTATGGAACTGGAATTGGAGGACTGTGCTAAACTTACTTATTACCTGTGTAGTCTTGGTGCATTTTCTTTTTCTTTCTTTTCTGTTTTTTTTTTGAGGCAATCTGGGGTAAGTGACTTTCCCGGGGTCACATAGCTGAGGTCAGATTTGAACTTAGGTCCTCCTGACTCCAGGACTAGTACTCTATCAACTGTGCCATTTAGCTGCCTCACCTGTATGAGCCTAGGCAAGTCACTTCACTTTGATGGACCTCAGTTTCTTCATCTGTAAAATGAGGGGATTATACTAGATCAGTGGTGTTAAATTCAAATAGAAATGGGGGTCATCAAACCATGCATAAGGATCCCTATGGGTGGCATATTGATTTAGAAAACCACATATTAGACTCCAGCTTGTGGGATAAGAACTCATTATTTGACAAAAGCTGCTGGGAAAACTGGAAAATAATATGGCAGAAACTAGGTGTAGATCAACATCTCATACCCTATACCAAAATAGGGTCAAAATGGGTGCACCATTTAGACATAAAGGGTGATACCATAGGCAGATTAGGAGAGCAAGGAATAGTTTATTTCTCAGATCTATGGAGAAGGGAAGAATTTATGACCAAACAAGAGATAGAGAACATAATGAAATACAAAATGGATAATTTTGATTACATTAAATTAAAAAGTTTTTGCACAAACAAATCCAATGCAACAAAATTAGAAGGAAAGCAGAAAGCTGGGAAACATTTTTTACAGTCAGTGTTTCTGATAAAGTTCTCATTTCTAAAATATTTAGAGAATTGAGTCAAATTTGTAAGAATACAAATCATGTCCCAACTGATAAATGGTCAAAGGATATGAACAGGCAGTTTTCAGCTGAGGAAATTAAAGCTATCTATAGTTACATGAAAAAATGCTCTAAATCACTATAAATTAAAACAACTTTGAGGTACCACCTCACACCTATCAGACTGGTTAATATAATAGAAAAAGAAAATAGTAAATGTTGGAGAAGATGTTGAAAAATTGGAACACTAATGCATTGTTAGTGGAATTGTGAACTAATCCAACCATTTTGGAGAGTAATTTGGAACTATGCCCAAAGGGCTATCAAACTGTGCATACTCTTTGACCAGCAATACCACTCCTAAGTCTGTATCCCAAAGAGATCATAAAAAAGGGAAAAGGACCCACATGTACAAAAATATTTATAGCAGCTTTTTTGTGGTGGTCAAGAATTGGAAACTGAGGGGATGTCCATCAATTGGGGAGTGGCTGAACAAGTTGTGGTATATGAATGTAATGTTGTTCCATAAGAAATGATGAGCAGGTAGATTTCAGAAAACCATGTATTAACATTGTCTGTTTTATTATATTTTTACATAGTTAAATATTTCACTATTACATTTCAATCTGGTTTGGGCCCCCTTCTTGGGAATGTTATGGGCTGCCTGGGGCCAAAGGTGTGTTTGATATCTCTAGGCTAGATTCCCTGTGTAATAACTAATTTTTTATATTTAGAGCTGAAAAGGAACTCAGAGATCATCTAGTACAACCCTCTTATTTTATAGCTAGGTCTCAGTGCAAATAATGAAATCTCTTGAAGTCGTAGCATGTGTTTGAGCTCACCTATTCAAAGTTAAAAATATGTAAAACATGGTCATTGATTCCAGCCTACTGGAAATATGCAGTGTGAATTCAAATAAGACAAGTACTTTAGGGGATTCATTATTCCTACTAATCAGGAACTTGTCCTGAGTGTCCACTGACATTTCCGTCTTCCTGTTAGCCTAGTTTGGAAATACCATTCACTGTGATTTTTTCCTAGATTTTCTGAGGAAGAGTTATGTCAAGGAGCTTAACTTTACTTCTTGCTATTACTTTGCCATCTTCGCTCCCCCTCTTGGAAATACCAACTTTCATTTACAAAACAAAGATGATTTTTTTTTCATTCAAGTTTGTGGACCCCACGATATCTAACTTTGGGTCCCAGATTAAGAACCACTGAATTAGAGGAAAGAGGAGGGACAGGTAGATAGAGGATGCTAGAATGATTGATGAGTCCATTAAGTATAACTTTTGGCCCTGACCCAAAGGAGTTGTACTCTTGTCTTTATCATGCTTAATGCATTTATAAATGACTCTAGTTGTCTTGATGTACATCAGTATAACATCTTTTGGATTTTAATTGCCCTGAGCCACCCAGAATCTGTCTGAATAGGGTTGATCTTCAATATCCATCTTCAATATCATATGTCCACTGGATTAGTTTGTATACTACAAATTGACCCTGTAGTTTCATCAACTGAAAAAGGAAGGAAATAAATATATGTGCCAGGCACTGTACTGCTTTACAAATATTGTTTTATTGCCAAACAACAACTGTGGGAGGCAGGTGCTATTATCACCTCCATTTTACAATAGAGGAATCTGAGTCAAACAGAGGTTAAATGACTTGATCAAGATCAATAGCTAGTAAGTGTCTGAGGATGGATTTGAACTCAGGTCTTGCTGACTACAGGTCCAGTATTCAGTGCACTATGGCACCACCCAGCTGCCTCTTAATGTGAAGCGTTTTCTCTGTGCCATGAAATCCTGGCCAAAGTGCGGAAATCAGGCTGTATAAAATGAATGTGGTCAGATAATAGAGGGACTCCTGAGGTCCATGCATTGGTATTTGTGATGGGGGACAGGAAAAGTGTGCACTGGAAACTAGCACAGCTGAGTTCTAGTCTTGGCTCTGTTAATTACTTGCTTTGGGGCCTTGGACAAGCAACTTTAACTTTTCTAGGACTTAGTTTTCTCATCAGCAAAATGGAAAATAAATCCCTTATCTAAAATAACAATAATCCTTCCTCTCCCTATTTCACAGGGTTGTTACAAGTCTCAGAGGAGATAAGAGGGCACAGGAACTGTAAGTACACTTCCATTGTGGTGTGGGGGGTAAAGCCAGAGCCTAGCTTGTTGACTCTGCCTCTTCAACTTATGACCTTGGGCAAATTATTTGCCCTCTCTAGGACTGTTTTCTCATCTGCAAAAGAGTACATTAAACTATATTGCTAATATCTCTTCTAGCTCTGACATTTTGTAATTTAAGATTTCTTTCATCTCAGGTTCTGTGACAATGTGACTTGGGGTCCAAATATAAACCACAGAGAGCATTTGAAACAGCTCAGTACTTTTTTTTTTCTTCCTATACCTTCTGGCTTTCCTTACATGCTCACTGAATTTGACTCCACCCGTTGGGCAGTGTCAGAAGACCTGACTTCCACAACTGAGATGGTACTCTGGAGGAGGACTTTTTGGGTCATTTATAGATGCTGTTGTGACTGTGATGCCGGTGTTACCCAAAGCCTGAGATCCTCCAGAGTCTGAGAAGCCACAGCTCTCTGCAAGGGACCTCCTCACAGACACTGTGATGAGAACTTTTGACCAGAATGAGATATAGCCTGTTGACATTTCCACAATGCATGCAGGTGGTTCACAAAAATCCAATTTAAAAGGAAAGGAATTGAGTTAGCTGCCCTTGGGGTCTGCTATTGCTTCAGTTTTGACGATTACGTTAGGTGCTCAGAACTCTACCAATAACAGCATTAAAGGTTAGGGGGATCTTTGAGTCAAACATGTCCTGCCTGTATTTCATCACCACTGGAGCTGAGAAGAGAGAAAAGTGAACAGAACTCTGAAGCTTTCCAGGGGAAGTAGCTTTGCTAGTGATTCTCAGGGGCCCTTCAACATCTCATAGGGCTTCTTATGTCTTGGTTAAAGCTCAATGAGAGTAATTCCTGCCCAATTTTCTCTCCTCCCTGGGATGGGGAACGTATGACGTTCTGATGAATAACAGCAACCGCTAGGCCATATTTATTCCAGAAAATATCATCTCAGTCTCCTGCTGGAAAACAACACTGTGGGGGAGGGCAGTCATTCAAGCTGTGGCTTAAATAAGCACCTGTAATTACATGTATCTCAGGGTGACAAGTCATTTGTGAAACTAGTTGCCTGCATAGATCTTTATTTGCTGATTGTTTCACCAGTTCTCATGCTCTTCCTTTTGGAATAAGTCCTCAAACTTGTAGGCTTAATTTTAGCTTAAGCAGCGCCCATCCTGTGGGGAAATTCTTGAAAGGGGTGTGTGTGTGTTTGTGTGTTATGGGGGAAGGTTTGGCTCTGCATGAGAGATTATTTTGTGCATCATGTTTAACTGCTCAAAAGATTTACTTGGATGTTCCACCAGTGCCTCGAGTCAAGATGTCTCAAATAGGATTTATCTTTTGCCTTTAATTGATCCCTTTTTTTGACTTTGCTGTTAGTGGTATTCACATGGCTCCCATGTTCAAAATCTGAATGCTATCTTTGACCCTTCTCTAGTTTTTTTTTCCTCTTCTCTAGTTTTGCTTGTTGTAATCTATCAATCACCGATGGATTTTATCTGCACAATGTCACTTACATCCCCCCCCCATCTCTAATTCCATTGCTGCCACACTAATAGAAGTCCTTGCTCCTATCAGCCTGGACTATTGCAATTACTTCCACTTCCAACAGCAGGCTCTTCTGCCTTCATGCTCTCACCACAGTCCATCCTTCTTACCCCTACCAGACTTATTTTTGTAATATACACAAAGACTCCTGATGGTTTTAATGGCTCCTGATGGATAAATGAATAAAATTCAAGCTCATTATTTTGGCATCCAGGACTTTCACATTTTAAAAAATAAGTTGATATTGATGTACGTTGTCTTTTTACATCACTATGGTTTTCCTCCCTCCTCCCAGAGAGCCATCCTATATAACAGTATTTTTTAAAGACAGAAAAGAAAAAAAAGCTAGCATAACTGACCAATATATTGAAAAAGTCTTTAAAATATGTGCAATGTGCTTCCAGCTTTGAAAAGGAATAGGTTGGAAGTATCTTTTCATATTTCTTCTTTCAAGTGCATGAGTCAGGACATCCCCCTATGATGTCATTGGTTGCCTTTGAAAATGAAGGACAAACAATGTTATCTAATATCAATTGGGTTTCACTTAAGGATCGGCTAGCCTCAATGGCTATTTCAAGTTTTTTGCCTCTCCTTATACTTCTCATAGTACCCTCTCCTTCCATCCTGTGAGGATGTTGCCTCACACTTCACTGAAAAAATTGAGGCCATTCACTTGAAGTCTTTTCCCCATCCCTCTCCTTATCGTGAATTGCTTAAATATCTTTCCCTACTGTTTCCTCCTTAACTCCTGTTTCTGAAGAGGTAGAATTTCTCCTTCCCAAGGGCAATTCCTTTATATCAGAGATGTGTTGTGAGAACCAGAGTAGAATGCAATTGAGAAATGTTTAACAAAATAAATGAAAATATAATATGGTGTTAATTTGTGGTTTTCTAAGTCAATACAAGGGCAGGAAATCTGTTTCTATTTTTGAGTTTTAACATTGTTTTAAATGCATCCTCGATCACACCTTATTTAGAAGACTGCTTCCACTTTCACCCCTACTTTAATCTTGCATCTCTCCCTACCTACTGGCTCCTTCCTCTCTCCTTCTTCAATGAGGACTGGCAGATGTTTGAGGTACCTCTGAGGGTGTCTCTCCATAAGGAGGAACTGCATCCATGAGAGTTGTGATCGCATGTAATTGAAGCATCTTGGAAAGACTTGAGCATTGTGGGTGCTCTGTAACTGGTTCCAGTCTGCTAATCACATGGTTAGAAGACTTTTTGATTGTCTATATAGTCAGAACTGGAGTTATCTTCAAAAAAGGCACTAGTGACAAAAGTCCCAGTTACTCTTTTTGGTTGTACAATCTTGGTGATTCTCTTTGACTCTATTGATGGTGCCCAGTGAGAGATCATGTTGTAAGGGAAGATACCTTGGGTCATCTCCTCCAGAAATCAGGTGGTCCTGGGGATACAAGTCTGAGTTCTTTGCTGGCCTTATTTGTTCTTTTCTCTTCTAGGTGAAGGGACTGGAGATCTCAGCAATTCAATGTTTTTTTTTTTGTAGTCAGCTCAGCATTGATACACCGGTGAGCAAAGAATGACTGTCAGGACACAAGCAGAGGTGGCTGAGACAAGGACTCATCTGGTGGTGATGTCACTTTTGGATATGAACTTGGTGGGACCAATGCTATGTAGGAACTGTGCTAAAAGTGAGTCCACTCTCCTCAGAGATTGAGGTAAAGTTATTTCCTTTCCTAGGTCCTCAATTTCCTCATCTGTGTTGGATCCATAAGATATGGCAGAGTGTGTCCCTAAAATGTCTAGGGAGGGGGTGTTTTTACTTTTGTCCTTGTTACATCTTTTCCCTTTTTAAAAAAAAATTTTAGGCAGTTGGGGTTAAGTGACTTGCCCAGGGCCACACAGCTACAAATGTTAAGTGTTTTGGTCTGAGGCTGGGTTTGAACTCAGGTCCTCCTGACTTCAGGGCCAGTGCTCTATCCATTGCGCCACCTAGCTGCCCCGATTCTTGTTACATCTTTAAAGTAAATATCTCTTTATAAAAGCTAATTGATGTTAAGTGATTAAATGCCCAGCTAACAGAGACTTAATAGTTTTCTTTATGTGTTTAAGGGACTATCACGCGGAAGGATCAGGCCTTTTCCTTTCAGTGGAGTGTGTGGAACCAGCAGCAGTGGGCAAAATGTGCAGAAGTAAATATAGGCCTGATGAAAGGAAAGTCTTTCTAACAATGAGAAGAATGGTAAACAGTGCTTCAAGTCAAGGCTGCATGACCTGGTGAGGATTTTTGTTCAGTTACTGGTTGAACTGGCCTACTGTGGTCCCTTCCAGCTCAAGATTCAGAGATTATATTACGAATCAGGATTCTAGAGGGCCCTGAAAGGTGGGACTCACCAGACACATGGGTTGTTTGACTCTATGGCAACCCCAAGAACATTCCATTTCTGGATGGGTTGAGATAGGGAAAGGGAAGATACCCAAGGTAGTACTACAAAGAGTGTCCATAAAGCATTAAAAAAAAGTGGGCTGGAGGTATTTTAATTCAATAACACAATTTCCTTTTCAATGTTCAAAGGAGAGGAGGCCATTTAGAAAAAAAAAACAACTAAATTTATTGTCATAATCTTTATTATGTATGAAATTGTCTTCAATATAAGTTACATCCTGATTAAATCTGAGATAAGACATTTTTTATCTGTTTAAAGGCTAACATGGTCCTTTATTCTGTACAATATCTTTAACTAGAGTCTAGCAAATATAGTACCTTTCATTGCAGGATTTCTTTAACCGTAAAAGCAAAAACCAAAAAACCCTCAACTACAAACATTGGTATCAAATAAGGCATTAAAAAGGTAACAAATATAGAACAACTTTGTCCGTTTAAAAATGCAGAATGAATACTAAAGTTAGTGGCAAACAAAACAAAATAAAACAAAAGACACAAACAGAACAGTTCTAGAGGGCAGACTTTCCTGCTCAGGGGATGAAAAGCAAAGACTCTAGACCATATCTCGGTTCCTCCGGATAGCACAGCATAGAATCATACTGAAAATCATGCCAAAGATCTGGAAAGAAAAGAAGACAGAAATCAGATGGTTTTATTGGAAGGAGACCAGGCTGTCATGCTCTTGGCAGAAAGGTGATGCACAAGGGTAGTAGAGTATAAGGATGACATTTTCAAACACAGTTAATGAATTATTTGTGTTGCTTAAATGTACTTGTTTTAAGGGAGGTGATGACAAGTGAAAGGGAAAGGATGGTTTTTTCAAAATGAAGAGCATCAATAAAACATTTAAAAAGGAAAAAAGGAGGAGGCTGAAGGTAAGGTAATGGAATTATTGTCTCTAAGGTAGGGCAGTTACAAGCAGAGCATTGTCTATAGGAAGCTATTACTTAAGTTAGGTAGCAGAGAATTTCTGGCTAAAACTTCTAGGAACCTGAAATCTGCTGTCTCTGAAAGCTAGGGAACCTTCTTACCCTGGAGATGTTTTAGCATAAGAAAATCACAGCCAGAGTGGGGAGGATCAACCTCAGCTCTCATTTCATAGAAGAGAGTAGCACCCAGTAGAACAGAGAGAGCACAAGATGAGGAGTCAGGGGACCTGGGTCTCAATTCTACCACTGCTATATTGATACCTGAGTGACCCCGAGCAAATTATTTCACTTTTTTGGGCTTTGGTTTCCTCATCTATTAAATCAGGGAGTTGTACTAGATGATCCCCAAGGCCGCTCTGGACCCCCTAATCCTCAAGTGAGTAAACAAACCCAGAGAGGTAAATAGACTTGTGCAAAGTCAAAGAAGGAAAAAATAGCAGAAGTAGGACCGGAATCCAGACCTTAGGACTAATCCAGAACTACTGCCTCTGTATCATGAGGACTGGCTCAAGTGGTGTCAGGGACAGGTCTAGAGGAAGAGGACTACTAGTAGGTCTTTGTTTTGGAATTCTAATAGGAGATCTGTCTCAGCCAGAGCTCTTTGCCTAGACTAGAGGTAAACCTATTTGCTTGGGTTAAAGTCTTTTGCTGCCTTACCATTTTTTCAGCTGGCTACTCTGTTAGTTATACCTAATTCCATCACAGATAAAAGAAAGCTCAATGGTAGGCTACTAGATAGCTTACTTATATTAGGGCAACTCTTCTTGGCCACTGCCTAGGGGCTTCAGAATAAACTGCATGCTGTGCCGATTAGCCATGAAGTGAATTATTAGCTAGTTCAGGGATGTTTTCTTCTTCTTTTTTTTGCTGGCTACCTTTTGGAGTATTTTTTTTTTAAGGTACATACTGAACTTGACAGTCTCTAAGGTCCATTCCAGAAGCTCTCATGCTGATTCTAGCTGATGCTGGACCGAGGAATCAAGAGGTAAAAGTTAAACAAATTTAGCTTGAAGTGATCAGCACTTGGTTTGTAAAACAGCTGGTAAGGGAAGAATTTATAATAAAAAGTTTTAGGACTGTGTATAAATAAGCAAAGGGCCTGAATATGTAATTGACATCAGCCCTTCGAAAACTGCGTAATCTATGCTTGTGAAGGTAGGGGTGGAGAACTGGTGCCAATATAATTGGTAGTATGACTCACACATGGCACGGTGCTACAGGATTCTCCCCTGCCCTGTTATAATCTGGACATGGGGCTCTTTCAACTATTCCTCCCTGATCACCTTTCTCTGGGTGATACTCACCTATCTAGCACTTAACAAATACCCTGTTCATTTGTATCCTGATTTAGTGGCCCTATTCAGCTGCATATCTTTGCTCATGCCAATGCCCGTGCCGGAGTGTAAACTTCTCAGGTGACCAAGACTGGATTTACATAACTTCCTTTCTAACCTTGCCTAGCATTACACCATGAGCAACCACCTCCTTCATCCCCTGCCCCTACTCACCATCACAACAGCAATCCCTATGCCAACAGCTCCGATGATGTGGAATTTATTGTTGAAGACTTCCTCGATGGCTGTTGGGCAAGGCTTTAGGGAGAGAATACAAGGACATGTATTCACAACCCATGTTTTGACCCAACTTTCCCTATTAGAAACTACTCATGTTCTTGTAGAGAGCATGCTCTGGGATAGACTGATGAGGAAGACAACAAATGGGGGAAAGGTAGAGAACAAGAGAATTCAAGAGGAGAAATCCTGGCTGAAAGCCAAGAGGGAAAACTTGGAAAAACATGGCAAAGGGGTTACTAAAAACTGGTTGGGAGATGTAGGGAGAAGCAAAATTTTAAGTTGCTACCTTAGGGTTTGGATATGGTCTCGGGTTAGGTACTTTCCTCTGATCCAAAATTACATTAATACAGTACTTCATATTTACAAAGCATTTTGTACTTTACTATCATCTGAGATTCATGACAATCCTGGAATGTTAGTAGTATATAATTTTCATTTTACAGATGAAAAACTGAGGCTCAGAGATGTCAAAATTATTTGTTCAATAACATGGAGATTAAGCATTGGATCAAGGAACTGAACCCAGGTCCTTACATTCAGTCTTGTTTTAACTGTGTCATGTCTGTATGGCAAGAGTCAAAGGGGGGGGAGCTCAAACGAACATTATGAAAGTTATACCCCTCTGCATGAAATACGCATCGTAGTGATTGCCAGCAACATCTGGGTTCTCTCCCCAGCCTCCACCTGCTTTGCTATTGTGGACAAAACGGAGGTAGAAGGGAATCATACAGGAATGAATAGGGAAGACAAAGCTACCTGCTACCCCAGAGGGGAAGAGGGATTTATTTAGAAGATACCTGGAGATTAAATGGTGGCTTGCCAATACAACTGGGGTGGGATGGTGTGGTGAGGAGAAGAAATGATTGTTTTTACCTTCATAGTTACCGATGTGACCAAGTCCTTGGTGGGGCAGGTGTCTGTGATCAACTGATCCAAAACTCCAGTCAAACCACAACAATCTAGCTATAATGGGACAAGCACAGGGCACACAAAAAAAGACAGAATAGAAAAGTCTGGTTCAGTTATTAGCTGAATTGGCACAACATGGACCTCTACACACACTCACATCTCCACCCCTGTTGAAGAAGTTAGTTCTTAGATTCTACTAAGCGTGGAAGGGAGACTTACCGCGTGGTGGATGGCCTTGAGGGTTTCCTTGTAGGGGCCTTCTTTGGTCCTCATCTTGTTGTATGTTTCCCTATAAAATTCCTGTATCTCCTTAATCACCTACAGGTAGACACAAGGAAGACACTTATTCCACAAATCCTTTTGCTCATTCCTTGTAGCAACTGTTGAAAACCATATCTATGTAAGCGCTCATCCCCCCTTTCCCACTTTCAGTAGATGTACACATACAGGGTTGGTGTCCCAAAAGTCTTAGTGAAGTTTTAAGCTTTAATAAAAAGGAAGGACAAGAGAGAAATCTCTATCTTTGAGCATTCAGTTGTCCTTTTCCCCCATGTGACATTCTCTCACGTCATTCCTTTACAATGCAAACTAAATGACTCCATTTCTTTGTCTCACTCATGCCATTCCCTTGCTTGAAATTTCTCACCCCATCTCTGCCTCTAGAAATTTTAGCTTGAATGTTATCTTCTTCCATGAAACCTTCTTGGATCCCCTCAGCTAGGTGAGACCTCTCTTACCTTTGGACTCAGTATTTTTTGTACCTTTCGGAACATTCATCATGTTCTGTCTTGCATTCTGGTTATTTGTCTTTGTCTTATCTTCTCTACTAGGGGAGGGACCTTGTTTCCTCCAGCTTTACGACCTCTATAATATTTATTACACTTGCTGAGCAGGTACTGTATAAATATATGCTGACAAAATAAGGATATTACTGTGTCCATCTCATCTGTTTTCTGGGAAGGCTACGTCTTCTCAGGCACTTTTTTTTTTTTGGCAGGGGGACTAAGGGGTTGGGCTGGGATTAGATGGGGCATCGGGGAGAGGTTAGCCCACAATGTTCACCCAAGTGTTGTGAGAGCCAAAGGGGATGAGGCCTGAGAAAAGGCCACTGGATCTGATAATGAGCCTGTTGCCAATTAGACACTTTAGTTTCCACCGAAGACTTCCTCAACACTTCCAACTGAAGGAGCAGAGATGGAATTACTGCTGGTCCCTGGCATGGATATATATGCACATGTATGTGAGCATGTGTTTAATCTGTTTCATAACAAACCAGGATTTTGCTAAAGACTGGCAAAGAAGACAGGCAGGAACAATGCCACATCTTTTGAACCCAGACTACTCCAAGAAATGGAGGAGTTCTTTTCAGGCAAAGCCTACCTCTTCTTTGTGGGAATAACCCCAGATGGCAGCAGCTATTTCGATAGCAAAAATCACCAACAGGAAGGCAAAGAACTAGAAGATAAAAAGAGGAACAGGGGGTCAGGAGAAAAACCCCCCCCACACATAAAAGTAGTTAGAGCATGGGATTTCAGGATGTGTTCTATACAATTTTAAGTTTATCCTTAGTAGAGTTCTCAATGCATCCTGAAACAAAGGAGAATGGAAACCCTAGGGAAGGGGTCTCTGGGAGCACAAATAATTAAGTCACATGTCAGGGAGAAAAAGGGAAAACATTACAGTAGCAGTAGGATTAAAAGTCATAAAAAAAAAGGCCAAAGACTTGGAAGAGATAAAATACAGAGAGTAGGAAGCCGCTCCTAAATCGTCGATAAATTTACAAAAGCATGGCCACATTTTACTTGCAAAGATCCTAAATATTGGGAAAAGGGAAAGGAGGTGATAGACACCAGGAAGAGTTAATGGAACTAGAGTTATTTTCAGTGGAGAGAGGAAAAAAGATACCTGTGGATTCAGGGAAAAAAAGCAAACGTGGTCTTCAAAAAAAGAAAAA